AAAAAAATAAAATAAATAATAATAATAATAAATAAATAAATATTTTTTTTTAATGTCTTTTTAACGCTAACATATTTACTATTAACAAAATCATGATTAACATCTTAAATCTCGTGCACGCTTATCTACTAGCACTCGCCACAATCGAAAGGATAATCGAACTTTAATTAAATCCATTAAAATCATTTAGTGGATTAGCCAAAGGACGCTCTCGGCTTTTCCACTGGCAAACCTCATACATTCGCACCTTATTATTAATGTCGTTTCTTTCACGTCACAGCACTTAACGTCGACGCTGTATCCGTAAATTACTACCTTTACGCTCTGCTGCTGGGGGTTACGGAAATACCGGCGTACCTGCTACCAACCCCGGTATTGATGGTAATGGGACGAAGGCAGGCCAGCTCGATTCTCTTCGGCACTTCCGGTCTGCTGCTCATCGTCATACTTGCCCTGCCAAGATCCCAGACAGTGGCCATCGTCTCGGTCAATCTCATTAGTCGATTCTCATTGTCAGCCGCTTATGGAATTATGATCCTCTACGCCTCGGAACTCTTCCCAACGGTACACGTCAACATTATCCACTCAGCTTTATCACTCGAGCCTGCAACGGAGATAGCACGCTAATATCTCGTTACGCGCTACACATTTATAATACGGCCCTCCGAGCATTGCGCTTTAACAAGTTATTTTAAATATCGAGCGCTCGGTTATAGATTATCGAAGCGAAGATTGTTTAACTAAGGCGAACGTGTTACAACGAACTATTTCCAAAACTACATTTTATCACTGAATACTTGGTTGAATATTTTCTTCATCAATATTTGTCGTAATACCCAGAAATACTCATAACCTGTCGCTATTGAATTGTCGATAAAATATATTTATTACGTATAACATTGGTAATAAAGATTATTACAACGAAATTTATTTGCATAGCCGCGACAGCTAGATTTATCGCGCGCGTTATTTCACAATTTGAATTTAACTTAACGATTAAACATTGTAAGTAGCATTGATTTACGCTGCTAAATACGACCACTTAAGAGGCGCTTGACAACAAAATTGACAAGAGAAAATTCTCTAATAATGCAATAATTTTAACGAATAATGCAATCGGTTGCGTGTCTCAGATCGCCCGGAGTTCAGCCTTGGGGACGAGCGCGGCGATGGCCCACGTAGGCAGTATCGTCGCACCTTTCAGCGTCGACAACCTCGTGACGCTGGCCTGGTGGGGCCCTAGCACCTTATGCGGGGTCTTGGTTCTCGGGGCCGCACTCGCGTGCCTCGTCTTACCGGAGACGCGCGACAGACCGTTAGCCGACAGCGTCGAGGAAGAGCTAGCCGATAGCCGGGGATCCGTCTCCTGGACCCAAGTGTGCGCCTGCTCTCGATAACCATCTCTACGTCTCTCTGCGACCCATCAGACCTGCTAGCACCGACACCGAGCGCGACTCACTGCAGCGAAGACTGAATGAGAAGCGACCCGAGGACGATTATGAGCGCAGCTCTGATCAAAGAATCTCGATTGATGACCCTAAGCCGGCCGACGACAGTTTAGCGGATCGTTTGCTTCCTTCTCATTACTATAATTGAATTCGTGCGCCATTTCGCTTTCGCGGTTTAATGAAAACAAAATAACAATAATAACAATAATAACAATAATAACAATAATAACA